AGTCTGGATGTTTTGGACTGTGGGTCATGTAATGCATAGGGTCGATTGGCTTCTTCTGTCGGTTTGGAAGATCGCGATCACCATCATAGTGCACTTTGGGAAGTGTCTCCACCTGCCGATCCTCGAGGGAGGTCGACGTGATATCGGTATCTACTTGAGCTGTACCTGAGGTGCCCCCACAGGTCTTGGCAGGCCCCCCGCATGTGGGAGGAGAACACTGTATCTGAGACGTAGGCGAGTCGCTGTGTGTCTACGTTGGACTCGGCATTATCCGTGTCGGGAGGCTCTTCGACCGTAGCGGTCCGTGCTCCTCCTCCCTCACCGACATGTTGTCTCTTGGGGCAGGTCCCTAGGTGGGGCCGCTGCTCATTTGTAGGTGGTGACTGCTCTGGAGTCTTGCAACGCCAACATATGTCGTTGGAGCGTGCAGAGGAACGCTTGCGCTGGCGACGCCTGGGTGCTGATGAAGTGCACAATCGTGGTGGTGGTATCGTCGCCAAATCGTCGAGGCGTAGTTCTAGAACTCTGTTGTTGACGGGAACCTTATACCATTGGCCCCCCGGATCCTGCAGCATGTAGCCCAACTCTGGGTCCCAAAGCTGCCGAAAGCCATCAACTTCAATCAATTGTCCAACTGATAGCAACGATGGGCAATCTGGCAGGGCGAGGGCTGAACTCTTCAAGCCCACCTCAGGTAGTTGGATGTCGTAGTGCTCGTTGACAGTACGATCACCATTGGCAGTTCCCAGAATATGCTCCTCGCGAGTAGATATGCGATCAGATTCGGTCTGCGTCAGCTCGTTTTTATCCTGGATATGGTGCGCAGATCCACTGTCAAGAACTCAGGAGCGTGTCAGTGCAGCTGTCGATCGTGGTGGGTCGACTTGCGGAGTCGCTGTCCTCTCCTGGTGTGGCTCGGAGGACTCTGTGGTAGAGTCGTCGGAATCTGGGATCGCAGTTGGTGTCTCCGCCGACGCCTTGTCGTGTCGGTAACCATGTAGGTCCTGATACCATAACTTAGCCTCCCGTTGACAACGTTGTAGGGCGTCTGCACTGTTTCCACCACCATTGTGGCAGCGGATCTGGTACTTTGACGATATCGCCCTCGTTTGGCTTCTCCATCCACTTATCCAGAGTGGACTTGCCAGAAACGACGTGCGGGTAGTATTCCACGGTATGTGCGTCAAAACGTATCCGACGCCGCGGTTTGGTAGATGCTGTCTTGGCCTTGTGGACGGTCATGAGAGTCTTATCACGTATGACGCAACTGCGGTCGGAATGGCGCGGGCGGCGATAGGTAGCGGGAGAGCGCGCCCTGAATTTGGGAGAACCACGGGAAGAACCGCGGCTCATGGAACGTCGGTCACGTCCTCTGTCGCTGCCGTATGATCTGTCGCGGCCACGCGGGCTGCCACGTCCTCCGCCACGCCCGTCTCGTCCTCGGGGGGATGATCGTGATGATCGATCATATCGGCCTCTCGACTGACTGCGAGAGTCTGTAAACCTCCTGGAGGATGATCGAGATCGGTCGCATTGGCGTCGGTTGTCACGTCTGTTGTATGAGCCCCACATATTCCGGACCCCCCCGCGTTGTGGAGAGCGTCGGCTCCCCGATCCGCGGGATGGCGGTCGGCCGCGACTGTCCTGGCTGGAAGTCCGTGGGCGGCCGGGGCTTCTCTCAGGTGTTTTCGTACCAGGTGCCAGATGCGCGCATTTGCATTCGTCACCCTTGTGGCACTTGTTCTGTGTGAAGTAATTGCGCTGCGCCATATGTGGCAAGTTGCACTTGTCGCCGCGTGCGCATGTGCTGCGCTTGGCGAACTCGAAGCAAAATTGCTTCGATGCTGGCTTCTTGGGATTCGCAGGGGCTGAGACGCTGCGGCGAGCGTTGCCGCCAGCGGTCGATGCTCGGGAAGATCTGCTGTCTTCCCCATCCCTGGAAAAGGTATGTAAAGCTTTGCAACGCTCACCATTGCGTCAGTTGCCTTTCTTCCAGGCTGCGCAGATGTGCACCTGAAAACGAGTCTCATGCTCGTACCGTAACTGATTTTGATTCTTCTCGAGATGTTTGAGCTCCAGCACGTCCAGAACGCGCTGTCGGAGCCAATCATAAGTACGATTCGGGTCGCTGTTCTTCATGCGCTGGTATTCGTACATATCCTGTTTCATCCAGGCATGTCGCCGAATCTGCGTGCGAAACACAGATCCCAAGATCTTTGGGTCGGGTGCCTCTCGGCAATCCAATGGTAAAGCGCCCCAGTCGGAAATGAATCGTTGCAAATCCTCATCTCTCATCCTCAGTTCTTCGAGGCGCTCAAAATCATGTAGGTCGTCATCAACCTCTGTCACTTTGTAGGACTGTAGGATGTGCCAGTAGATCTGGCGTCCTTTGAGCATGCGTCCTGCCTTGTGCTCTCTGGTCTCGATGAGCCTGATCAGGTAGCGCAAATCGGAGGATAAGATGTCGCTGAGAGCGGTAGCGAGTTTGCAATCGATGCTCTCGAAGTCTCCGCTGTACTGTACGTCTTCAAAGGTACATTCGGGCTGTTCAGCCACGCGTAGGAAAGCAGATGCTTTGGATGGTCGCCCTGAAGCGGCCCAAAAATTCTTCCGTACCTTTTGCTGCCACTCAGGCAGCTGTGTGATCTTAGGCAAGACGGGGACTCGGACGGTGTCTGACTCCTTGATAAGAGTTGTAGTATTGACCGAGGCCGCAGACAATGGTTGTGAGGGTATCGGTACACCGTCGGTAGCTGGTTCTGTGCGCACGGGAGACACGCGGCGTGTCTGTGCCGAAGCTGCCGCGGAGGCTGCTCCTGGTGACGTACGTCGTTGTTGTCCTGCAGAAGCATGCGGTGATTCAGCGGACGCTGCCGTCGGCCTGGGCAGGTCGGTTGGAGGCTGAAGGTGAAGTGTGGTGTCGTTGGTATGGTCAATCAACTGATTTGTCCAGCTCGTCATATTCTCGTGTATCTGGTCCACTTTGTGGCGTGTGTACTCGTCAGTATCCCGAGAGCGTTGTGAATACCGATCAAATCGTTGCTCGTAGGCTCGGGGACGGGCGTTGCGTGCTTCCAGCTCACTGTCCAGACGTGCGAGACACTCCTCAACACGTACCTCTTCAGTATCTCTCTCACGAATAACCTGGGAGAGCTCAGACTGCGCATGGTCCGCCGCCTTCTCAACCTCCTGCAGCCTGTCAGTGAGGCGGGCGAAATCGTAAACCGTGGGAGGAGAATCCAGCTGATCAGTCTGGTCTCGTCCGACACGCAACTCTGCCAGGGCGTCCTGTACACCAGGGAAACGCTGCTCGATTTCAGAGATCCGGTTAGTGAGTGGCTGCGCGACAGCGTTGGTCGCATCAAGCCTTTGGGCGATAACTCTCTCAATGTTTTGTAACATGCCGATCAGGGTCGACGAGTTGGCGTTTGCTTCGGTTCGAAGCGTCGCTGTAGTGTGGCCCATGTGGGATCGAAGATCGTTGATCTGAGACTGGACGCCGCCAAGGTCGGTGGCCTCGGCTGGAGGCGGTCGGTTGCGGAACTGGTCATGGGTCCCGTCGTGGAGGATCCTGACCGCTGAAACGCCTGTGTCGCGGACGATCACAAGCTGTTGCTCCATGTGCAAGGTAGTTGCGCAGGTGCTCGACCGTCGCTGACCGTTCACCTGAGTGTGACACCTCACGGTCAACCTGGTACTGCAGCTCACCTAAGATGCGACGATCTTCAGCGATCCTGGAATCTATGATCGCTAAGGCGCCGTCGGAATCTTGACGTAGAGCAGCAGTGTTGGCAGCGTTCGTCGGAACGCTCTGCATCAGTCCAGAGTACTGTCTGGACACGAAGGTTTCAACCTGGTCTCTGAGCTCAGCGATTTCACCTGCAGCGGACGTCACCGCCGGCAGGTCGTCAGAGAGGGAGAGGTGGGGAGCGTCAGCTCCCCGCTGCATCCTCTCGCGAGGAGTGCGTGGCCTCTGAGAGGCGGCGCGCGGGCTCGACCTCATCTCGTCGCATGGGCCTGTGGCCCCACGACGGTTACGCAAGGACGAACTGCGGCTAGGGATGAGATGATACCTGGGGATACTGCGTCTGCGGCTGCGCCGCCACTGGTCTACCGAGTTCCTCGAAGGCAGCAGCGTGCTCCGCTACAGGAACGTCGCAGGGCTGGTCATGCCAGCACCTGTGTTCCATCGGCGGGTAGCGCGGAAGCGCCCTGGAGTATCAGGACCAGTGGGGCTGGCGCCCGACGCAGTTGGGATTGCTCCCGACGGAAGAGGAGATGGAGGATCGAAGGTAGGCGTGTGAAACTCTTGACTGCCTGCTCCTACTCCTTCTCCTGTCCCCCCGCGGGCGGCGCGGCGGTGAAGTTCAGCAGCTAGCCGCGCCTCGGGTCCGTCTGAGCTGGGGGGGGCATCAGGGACACCCACACGGTCCACATTAAGGCTCTCCAACTCATCACCGAGCCGTCGCGCCGTCGGAGAGCTCGGACGCGAGGCCCCGACGGACCACTTACGGCGCATGCGCCGCTTGGGTTCCATCGAGGCCGCGTGCGAGATCGCGACGCGGGGTTCGATGAACTGTGAGCTCTAAAGGGCTAACAACCTGTGTATGGGGTTGGAGTACAAAGGTACAGAACCCCTGATCCGCTGGTAGGGGGAAGGAGGGAAAGATGGATATCTTTTCCTCCTGCACGATCAAAGGTCTGATCGATCTATTCCAATACCTGAGCCAAAACGGCCAGGCGCAGGAGAGTGAGGATAAGGAGTATATATGAGGGTGTTATACGGGTTCTATTCACAGAGGAGGGGGAGGAGGAGGAGGAGGAGGAGGAGGAGGAGGAGGAGGAGAAGGAGGAAGAGGAGGAGGAGGAAGAGGAGAAGAAGGAGAGGAGGGAAGGAGGAGGAGGAGGAGGAGGAGGAGGAGGAGGAGGAGGAGGAGGAGGAGGAGGAGAGGAGGAACACCTGCCGTGGCCCAGTTTCGGGCGGCCCCGGGAGGTCCGGCGGCGGGGGCGGGGCGCCCGGCCAGGGCGGCAACGTGTCGCACTGCTGCGGCTGCCAGGGCGCGAGGTCCTGGTGCGCCGGCGAGTTCCACCGGCTCGGCGTGTGGTCGTAGCGAACCCTGGCGGGCCCCCGGGGGCAAGCCCCCGCCCCGCCGTCACAGTGCTCCTTCCTCCGGGGGGAGGAGGGGGAGGTGGAGGAGGAGGAGGAGGAGGAAGAGGAGGAGGAGAGCAGGATGATACTGATGCTGGCCTGCAGTCAATCATTACCTATCATCATGTTGTTTGTCATCCTTCCCTCATGTCCCCTCTTCCTCCTGCCACACGCTGGAGCGGACCGCCTCTGCCTCGCCGCCGACGAAAGAAGTGTCCTCTTCCTCTTCCTCTTCCCCATCTCGCTTTAATTGCCTTGCGAAGCCTTCCCCGTGCTCATCGAATTTGTTTGCGGAAGCTTCTCCGAGGCGATTTCTGGAGGACCTCACGACAGCTTCTTGGGGGCCTCCTCGGCCCCTCCGGAGACGTCGCTGGCGCCTTTTGGCTGCCTCTGGGGGTTTTCCTCGGGCCACCATGCCGCGAACCGTACAATAGGGGCCCGACCACAAGAAACCTCCCACAAGAAACCCAATCCTGAGACCCCAGGACGTCCATTGATTCTTGGTGTGGGAACGTCACGCTTTCCATAACCAGCGAAAACATCGAAACCCAAGAAACCCAAGGCACCCTGGAGGCAAGCGGGGTGTTTTTTGGGGCATGGGTCTCCACTGTCTTGTCTGCAGCCTCGAGTCACGCTTTGAATGCTTCCAGAAGGCGCCTTGGGGCAAATCTGGGCCGTCATGGGGCCCTCTGTGGGCGGTTTTTGAACCCTCTCGGGCAGTCTTGGGGCTTTTTTGGGGTGTCAGGAATTTGTGTTTCTTGTCGTCTTGGAACAAGTTCCGGTGCCTCTCGGGCGTTCGGACGCTTGGAAAACCGAATACCCGAGTAGCCCAGAATCATACAAAAACCGACAACAAGCAACATTTCCTGCGTTTTGAAAGCCTTCTGGGGGTGATATTTGGGCAGTCTTCGGGCGTCTGGCGGGGGTCTGGGGCCGCTGGAGGCCCTCTTGGACCGTCTTTGGGGTCTCTTGCGACCGCCGCCGACCCAATTGCACGGTGTGGCAGGGACTTCCACAGATCCGGAATTCTCGCGGGAACCACTGAGGGGGGCGTCCAGGAGCCCCGGACGCTGGGGATCCGCTTCGGGGGTGGAGGGGTCCGCAGGGTCCCAGATGAAAAAAATCAGCCGACCCCGTTGGGGTCTGTAGGCGTGTGAGATTATTCCCCCCAACAGTCCCCCCCAACCGGGTGTCTCCTATCGCGCGATTGAATGGACTTGGACCTCGGGGGCAATTCAAATAGGCGCCCTCTGTAAATGGCCACTGGAGCGGGCCACACCCCGGCGCGTTCCAGGGAGCCTGTCTCGGGGTCATCTGCATAGGCAGCATCTGCGAATCGCCAATCGCAGGGGCCAACCCCTGGACGACCCCCCGGCCGAACGCATCGGGGGCCCGCGCCCACTTGCATAGGTACCTTATGCAAACGGCTATTGTCGGGAGCGGCCAAGAGGGGGGGGTCCAAGAGGGAAGGTGCAAATCATGACCGGCGGCATGTGCGCGGCCCTTGGGGGGGACCAGGGACGTAATGAAATCAGAAGAGGCGCCACGAAATCTGGGGAAATATCATGGCCCCCGCCATGATATCCACCCCCAGCTAGTCATCCCCCCCCGCTTTGCCACCCCCGGTATTGGAACGGGCCAAACCCCTGGTGCGGTCCCGGGGCCCTGTCGGGGTCGTTCGCACAGGCGGCCCCTGCAAATGGCCGATCGCACGGCCCCCACCCCCGGGCGGACGGTCGACTTTTATCTTATCCTGGCTCGACGGGCTGTTCCCCAGCTGGACGGGCATTCCCCGGCTCGACGGTGAGAAGTTGGCGGGGTTCTTTCCCAGCTGGAGAGGCGATTCTCAGGCCGGTGCCTCTGACGAGCTTCTTCATAGCCTCGGACAGGCTTATTGATAGCCTCCGGAAAGCTTCTCCTGAGCCTCTCAAAGAGCTCCCGAGAAGCTCCTGGAGGGCCTCCGACAAGCTTCTCGTGAGTCGCTGAGAAGCTCCTTGGATAACCTCTGAGAAGCTTCTTCTGGGCTTCTGAAACGGCTTCTCCAGAGCCTCCTGCAAAGCTTCTCGAGGGTCTCTGAAGATATCTGGAGGAATCCTGAAAAATCCTGCGGGATCTTAAGGGATCCACTGGGACCCTGAAAAATCCAGACAAATCTTAAATAGTTCTGAAGAACCCCAAGAAATCCGGATGGAACCAGAAGAATCTGAAATAATCCTTCGAAATCCTCAAGAACCTTGATGAGTCCCCACGAAACCTGACGAATCCAGAGGAGCCCGGTGGAATCTGGAGAGCTTCGAAAGGGCGGTGACATATCCCCGGAGAATCCTAAAAAAATCCGGGTGGCCCTGGCGAGTCCCAAGGAAAACTGAACACTTGTTTGGAGAAATCAAAGGACATCCAACATAATCCTGAAGCGTCCATAGAAATGCGGAGGATCCCTGCGGAACCCAGAGGAAACCTGAGGAACCCCGAGAAATCCTAAAGGGCACCCTGGGATATTCGAAACTCCTTGGGGACGCTACGGAATGCCAGGGGATCCAAAGAAATTCGGAACAACCCTGAAGACCCCTCCTGATAAAAAATACTACTTTAACCAGCACAATCGGCCAATTGTGCTTCAAATCAGCCGAACCTAAAATATTCCACGCGCTGCTAAGTACATATATGTCGCGCACGTGTCGATACGCGAAGCTTGCCTCTGCAACCATGATGAGAAATTGCGCACTGCATGGATCAAAAGGCGCAGCGAACGGAAACGCGCAGACATCGAGTCCTGGATCGCGTGCGTAGCTGAGGGATGACACGTTTGCCCTCGAGGTCTCATGCGGAAGCTCCGCTGCCGTGCCTGCGCGGGATGGGCGAGTTGGAATGCTCGACTGTTACCCCGAGACTTCCCAGAAGACCCTGACCCACAACCCAGAAACCGTGGCGGGATGGGCCGAAGGCCACTATATTTGACGGAGTGGGAGCGCGCACCAAGCTTTCTCCTCGTCCTCCTGATGCTCCTCCCTCTCCCCCGTCGGTTTCTCCTCCTCCTTTCAGCGCTCCCCTTCTCGTTATCGTCGCCCTCCCTCTTGCTCTTCTCCAAGTCCTCTTTTCACGGATTCGGCGCGCGCAGCGCCACGGCAGCGTCGGCGGATGTGGCGTGAGCCTATCGACGATAGGCAAGGGAATATCATTCGGCGGGCGATGGGCTGTCAGGAGCCCCCCCCCCCGCAGAGGCCTCTCCCTTGCGAGGCGGTACCCTTTTGTGGATGAGGAGGAGGAGGAGGAGGAGGAGGAGGAGGAGGAGGAGGAGGAGAGGAGGAGGAGGAGGAGGAGGAGGGGGTGGAGGAGGAGGAGGAGGAGGAGGAGGAGGAGGAAGAGGGGGAGGAGGAGGAGGAGGAGGAGGAGGAGAGGAGGAGGAGGAGGAGGAGGAGGAGGAGTGCACGTACTCCAAGAGGAAGAGACGAGGGCAAGCGGACAAGAGGCGAGACGAGGGCAAGAAGTCCGTCCGCTCCAGTCCGCCCGCCGCGCGTCTACTTCCAGAGCAGGGCTTTGGCGGCGCTCAGCCCTTCAGCTGTCGTGGCTGGGGTCGGCGAGGCGCGCTTCATTTTGTTAAAGAGGTGAAAGGCGAGCACGATCCGCTGAATCGTCCGCGTTAACGAGAGCTCGTTCGCGGGTTCAGACGCGGGGCCCAGGCCCCAATGTGCAAGCGCGTTGCGGAGAGGGGGGGGGGGGGGGGGGGGGGGGGGGGCGAGTCGGGGGGCCAGAGGAGGCTCAGGAGGACCGAGCAGGAGAGGTAGTGAGGGGATGAATCGGGTGCCGCAGGGCACCCGAACACACGCGGCTTCTGCTGGAGAACGTGCATGCGGTGGGTCGTCGTCCATCCGCCTGCGAGAGTCTTATATACCGCCCAGCGCCAGCTCGGGTGGACGGTGCGCAGGGCATTCGTCAGAGCAGCCCAGCGCGTCGCGAGCTCTATGGGCGGTGGCGGTAGAGAAACGCCCCAGGCTGCGATGCGCTTCTCGAGCGTGACTGTGAAGGGCGATGAGAAGGAGGCCCGCTGCAGTGTGAGCGCGACCGCACGCTGTACCTTAGGGCGGCGCGGTGGCTCAGCACCCGGGGCCTCGCGAATTTCGCGGGCAGCTGCGCGGTTCGCCGCGGCCGCGGCAGCTGCTGGGAACGGAACGGCACGCCTGCCGCACAACAAGGCATGGTATAATTGCACGATGGTAGTGGGCTCTTCCCAGAAGGGCGGGGACCACTGCCCTTGCCCCCACCGATGGAAGGAGTGAACCGTACTCTCCTCCCACGCGGCGTCCTGCAGGCGAGTGAGGAATGATTCCCATTCCCCACGGAGCGTGAAAGTGGCTGAACGAATGGAGGCGACGACAGTTGAAATCTGAGCTGAGCGAGGGACAGGAGGCGGGCACCACCCCGCCATGGCAATGAGGTCTACTTTGCGAAATGTGTTTGGCGGCAGACTGAGCATATTGTGGAAAATGCAATGTTCCCGACGGGCAATCTTCTGGTCGGGCGGGAAGAACTGCGAGACAAAGCTGAGCGTTGAAACGACTGAAGTGTTATGGAGGCGAACGGTGGCGTCGCTGCCACTCTGCACAAGCTGTAAAGTGTTCCCGCACTGCCACCAGTTCTGCCCAGGGGCGAGCCATCGGTGAGCGAGGGTGGCCGCAGGTCCGAGGAAGGTCCCGAGGTACTTGGCTCGCCCCGAAACCGGAAAGCCACCCCAGGAAGGACAGAGCTCGGCCATGAGCGCTTTCGTTTGAGCGATGGTGGCAGGCGGCGCCTTCGCCCAAAGCGGGACGATGACGCACTTGCGAGGCCTCAGGGAGAGGGGCGCAAGCTCCTCAGCGGCGGCAAAGGGCTCAGAGGCAGCGCGCAGCGCGTTGAACGAGAACGCGAAGATGCCAGTGTCGTCCGCGCAAACGCCCAAGTAGCCCTTGTCGTAGTCAGGCCTGCCGTCGG